ATGTGGACTTTATCAATTAATTTCATTTTCGTATTTTGCTTTGATAAAGTCCACATTTTATTCATATATATATATATATATATATATATATATATATATATATATATATATATATATATATATCATCCACATGTATCTATATTTGTTTATGTGTGTGCATATGTATGTCTGTGTACATGATTCTAAAAGGTCCTAAGCCCATTTAAGTAATCATTTTACTAAATCATATTAAAGTGGCAATCACATTTGCTCCTTAAATATTTTTGAAATTATAATTTCGATTACTTTCATATATATTACGCATTTGATAGTCGGAGAATATCTCGAATCCCAATTTCAAGTTATATAATTTGTACAGCAATTGGCATTATGTCAATAAAGCATTCACTATAAAAATGATTTTATTATGTATCTCGTGTATCATGCTATTTTCTTTCTTGAAAGTCTAAATTACAATAAACTATCGTCTTTTCCTCTATCTGTTTATCCCATCTTCTAGTGAAATAAGTTTAAAAAAGTACAAGAGAATGATAAAAGTAAACGCGTACAGCCATAACCAACCGAGCGAGAAACTTAAACAATAAAAAAGATGCATATTCGCTATGTCTGTATTCTATAATACGATACTAATAGTTTTGTTCAACGGCGTATCCAGGGCCATCAGAAGATATGCTAATTTTATATCTCGTGTATGATGCGACCCCTTAAAATTGGATTGAAAATTAGGTCTTCGAAAGTTGAATGATACGCGAGTATATACGGTATATATATATATATATATATATATATATATATATATATATATATATATATATTAGACATCCGACAACATTCATATTTCTCTGACTGAAACCGTCTTTAACTCGCCTCTCTAAAACTTCTCTCTGTTAAATTTTAATCTCCCACCTTCTCTCGTCTGTTACCCCTCTCTTTAGCTCTAACATTCGTCCCACACTCTCATACTTACACTCTCTCTAAATTCTATTTTTTATTTCTGGAATTGTTTTTTTTCTGTTTTCTTTTTGAATTTGTAGGTCTCATGAATTGGATCGTATTTACGATTCCAATGGAATAAATCATGACCATGGAATATTAGTGTTTAAGCTTTTTATTATATATATACATATATATATATATATATATATATATATATATATATATATATATATATATGTGTGTGTGTGTGTGTGTGTGTGTGTGCGTGTGTGTTTTCATTTCTGATTAAAAAAATGAAAGAAATACACAAATCTTAGAAACGTTTACAGAAAATTCACGTCCAAGATCTACAACTTATCGCGTTTCTTCAGAAAATTAACATTAATAGAATATAGGAGAGTTGAATAAATAAATATCAAACTGAAAGCGATAAAAATCTCAGTGAAGTTTAACATATAAAGACATATGATGTTAAATATGTAAATATGTAAATTTCAAGGTTGAACGTCTCTGTATCTTTGACGTTTTGATGTAAACAGTATCTGGTATTGGTTGTAATTTTCTTCTATTTTCTCTTAGTTATTTTTTCTGTCCCTCAATAAATCCATTATTTTGTCTGAAGATGCTCCTTTTAGAAATATAAGGCATAGTTTAATTAAGCTATGCTCACTCTCTCATAGAACAACTGAACTTGGGCACCAGCTGAAAATCAAACCAATCTATTTTATTGTCCAGCCAAATGACTTGCTCACGAAGTGAATATCGAACACACAAAACCAGAAATAAAAGCCAAGATTAGTTTACCGATAATCGTTGTGATACAAAACATCATGTAGATATTTACATTGCTTCATGACGTGGTTTCTTTCTACTTGTAGACATTTTTATTTTAATCATATATCCCAAAGCTAAAATATATCGAGCGAAACAGAAGATATTTGATATCTAATGTCTAGTATTTCGTTTTTGAATCGAGGAAGCAAGAGACATTTCACAAATTGTTTGAATAGTCCCCGAGCGTCTATTGGTAACTTGCCTCTCTACTCTAGCAGCCATCAACACGGGTTTATTTCTGTTTCCTAAGATATTCCATTTCCTTTCCGGGGTTTTGTCTTTTATTTAATTTTCTATGCAGCTTGGATATTTTCTATAGAATTTTCTGATCTCAAAACGATCAATACGTTTCGACCAGGAACCATCTGCTTTGAATTCTTGGATCCGGTAGTCAATTACCAATTCAACAGGAACAAAACATAATTCACATCACACGGCCCAAATATCCTAATAATCTACACATATCCCATATAAGGAAATTAATATTTACTTAATGATGACCGGATGGTAGTTCGTCGAAACGCTGTTCTTATAATAACTTCTAAAGTGAGCTATGATAAGTTTTTAGCCACCCTTAATTACAGCAATTTTGGCTTATGTAATAACGTATCTTTTTTTTACAGACAGTACCGTGTTAGTATCAAGCTACTTTAATCTATAAACGATAGTTGAATTATATTTTGCAATAAAAGTTCGCGGAAGAAAAGAATTTCAACGAAGGCAAATAACAGGATGGATTCAGTGTGGCAAGTCAAATAGAGAAATTGTTCGGTTTCTCCAGGTTAATCATCAAAAGGTTAATAATATTGTCAAGAAATTTAATGAAGAAGGCTATTGTCGTGAGGAACAACGTTCAGAAAGACAAAGCATCGTGTCTGAGTGAACGAAAAGGGTGTTGAAATTGGAAGTCATCAGAAACCGTCGTCAGAGCGTCAAAGATGTCTCCAACCGCATAGAAATCTCGCCATATGCAATGAGAAAGACTCTGAAAGAGTTATGCTATCAAAGAAGAGTTGCAAGAAAGAAACCCTTGATTTCAGGACTTAACAGGGACTGGCATATGGAATGGGCCAATGAATTTTGGCAGTCTATAATATCGACAGATGAAAGTATATTCTGCCAATATTCGAATTCGAGACAGGTTTATGTTTGGAGAAATGCAGGCGACCATCAAACATGTAGGGATGGGAGCAATGGTGTGGGGCGCTGTCTGTTGTGGAGAGAAACTTGAGCTCATTCCTATTAACGAACGGTTGAATGGTCCTAAATACTGTCAAATATTAGAAAAAGGACTACTCACACTATTTGAAACCAATCAGACAAGCATGTGTACTTTTTTCAAGAAGATGGAGCGCCATGTTATACGAGCAAAGTCGCAAAGGCCTGCAAGGAATCAATCCACTGTCATGAGTAACCCAAAGTCCTGACATGGAGCCAATAGACCCCGTTCGGGAGTACCTTCACCGAAAACTTCGAGAGCGTGAAACCAAAATCACGTCAGTAGCAACCCTTAAAGAAACATTGCTGAAGGAGTGACAAAATATGGCTCAGACAATTGTTGATAACTTGATGAAATCCATGAAAAATTCAATACAAACACTGAAACTTGCAAATGGAGGACCTCCTCTATACTAGTTCTAAATAATTTTTATTTACCTTGAGTAGGGATTGCGTAATTACATTTTGAAATTGGATGTAATTTATTTTTCCTGACTAAAAACTTTTCTTAAGCCACTATATATCCATCAAGAGGAGAACAATAGTTCGTAATAATGCAAGAATATCGATGGTATATTAGAAAAATATACAATAATTCATACTTATACCGGGTGTAGCTGCAAGGTTGTCCAAATCGTGTAACAGTATTGGATAACTGTCCATTCCATAATATGTTTAGTATGTTTAAAAAAAAAAAACACTAAATTAGTTGAATTTAGTTTTTCCAAATTTTCACTTAAGACATTTAGTCATCTTCAAAATATTTGATAAGAATTATTGAAAAACAGTTATTTAGCTAGAACGAGAAAAGTATCTGTCTATATTTCTGAGATAGGGTATTATGCACATTATTTACATTATTCGGACTATTGTCATCATCTTTGTCGCCATATTTATTACAACGTTTCGGCCGTTGTACGCTCTGGCCTTCTTCAGGTAGTTGAAATGTCGAACTGAACCTTTATTTCGCACGCTGGGGTAGACTGTTCTTGTTCCACGCGCCATGTTTAATGGATGCCAGTTATCAGTTATCTCCTGTTAATTTTCCATCTGAAAATTCTAAGGAACAAGAACAGGTGGAAATAGTTTTGTGTCAGCCCCACTATTTATTCCCTAGTGAGCAATTCTGAGAGGAAAATATTTATTCAGATTTAAAGTAATGCTTCTAACATTCATATTCTAGCTTTCATCGTCAAAGTTCATTCAAGAATCATCAAGAGAACGGTGAATACGTTTAAAAAAGAAGGAACGGTAGGGAGGAATATAGGATCAGGAGGTCACAACAGGAAGAGGGATCATTTCAACTAAAGACATCAATTAGAAAAGATCCAACTCAATTCATAACACGTTTAGCTCATGAGAGATGAGTTTCAGCTATGAATTTTCAAAGAGCAGTAAAAAAAAAAGACTTGAAAATAGAATCGTACGTGAAACATGTGAGACATCTTGTTAATCCAGATAGAAAATTTGAAGGTTATTATTAAATAACCTGGAATTATATATATATATATATATATATATATATATTTGAACTAAGTTTCAATTCCTCATGAGCCTCTGATCATTAGCTATGATTCATTAATGATAGACATGTCATTTTTTTTACGATAGATTTCATCACAGTTCTTGGAGAGTAATTATACGTTCTTATTGCTTAAATTAAAGTCAATAGAGTTATAAAAACCTTGGAGTATTTAAATTAGATATTTTTAATCATTGAGAACTTAAATTAACAATTGGACAATTTTGCTGTTATACGATTTGGAGCTTGTTGACGTTACACCTAATATATAATATACATTTACCAATAATTATTCATTAATTTTTATGGTAAAGTCTCAGAACTTCAGATACTGACGATTTTCCCTCTTTGCATACGGTCATGCCTGCACATACCATCCCCGTCTGATTCTTTGTTTGGTCTAGTATTTGGGAAGGAACAACTAGTCCTCAAAGAGGAGCGTGATCTAAATGTCACGCATTAAGAACGAATTCATTTGGATTCTCTGACAATGGTCTGTACATGTCCGTTGATTATTGCGTCGCGTCTGAAGCTTGTTCCTTTTTGCCTACATAGTAAGGTTGCAAATATTTCTGTGTACTTCCTCTTGAGTGTCGGTTTTTACAAAGCAAAATTTCGATGTACACATAATATAGTGACACGGAGCAGATCAGAATAAATATTCATTATTATTCATTATTAAAAATATATATTAATTATTAAAATATAAGTATTCATTATTAAAGTATATATAATTAGTTACTCATGCGTTAGAAATATAGAGAAAATCATATCTTCCCATAATTGCAGAATACTTAGAAACTACCACTGTAATGGAGCTCAATCTAGTAACCCTACCTGCAATTGTAGGAATAAAGACCATTGTCCAATCGGGGGTAAATGCAAATCTGAAAATGTAGTATACGAGGCAACTATCTTTCCCGAGGGAAATATAAACGAGAAAAAAAGATACATAGGTATATCCGCCGGTGATTGGAAGCAGCGTCTATACAACCATAGACGCTCATTTAGATATAGAAGCCTCAGTAGACAGACTTCCTTATCCAAACACTACTGGGAACTGGTGGATAAGGGATTAAACCCAATTTTGAAATGGAGATTCCTATCTAGAGCCAGAACACCTAATAACTTCCGCGATCGGTGTGATCTATGCATGGCGGAAAAAATCTTCATTATCAAAGATAAAAATCGAGATGAGCTGCTGAATCTTCGGAATGAGATATTCTCTAAATGTAGACATAAGAAACGTTTCCAAACTTGAACACCGTTTTGTAACATGTTGTCACTAATGTCGGCTCCATCTCGGTCCTATAACATCGGGCATGACATTTTAATTGTATGACTATTATGTTTATCTCTAAATGTATCTTTGTGCACGTTTATGTGATGTGCTATGTATTTATATTTATATATATATATATATGTGTGTATGTTTGTGTATGTGTGTGCATGTATGTATGTATGTATGTGTATGTGTATGTATATGCATGTATGTAGATATATATATATATATATATATATATATATATATATATATGGATTTTTTTTTTTTTTTTCATACACGCAAATATTTGAATCGTCACTTATTTGGGTTTTAACTTTTTTTTATATATATGTACATATGTGTATATCTCTGTGTCTGTTTATATGTATGTATGTGTATATATATATATATATGTGTGTATATTTGTATGTATATGTATGTATGTGTATATGTGTGTATGTATGTAAGTGTGTATATATGTACAGGTATGTATGTGTACTTATGTATATACATGTTTATGTGTGTGTGTATGTGTGTGTATGTGTATATATACATGTGTAAGGGTGTATGTATTTGCATGTGTATATATACATGTGTAAATGTGTGTATGTATTTGCATGTGTATATGTATGTGTATATGTGTGTATGTGTGTGTATATGTATGTAAGTGTGTATATGTATGTATGTGTGTATATGTATATGTGTATGTGTATGTGTGTGTATGTATGGGTATATGTATATATGTATATGGATATATATGTATATATATGTATATGGGTATATATATGTATGTATATGTATATGTATATGTATGTGTATGTGTATGTATAAGTATGTATGTATGTATGAATATATGCATGGGGTATATGTATACGTCTATATGTATGTGAAAAGTGTGTGTATATGAATATAGATGAATATGTGAATATATTTTTTGTGGATATGTATAATATATTATATATATATATATATATATATATATATATATGTATATGTGTATATATGTGCATGTGTATGTACATGTATGGGTGTGTGTGTGAGTACATGCCTAAGTGTATGTACTTACTTGTATTGTTTTTTGTGTGTATTAGTATGTGTTTTAAACATAGAAATATTTGGTCCTTGCTAAATAAGACAATCTTTATATTCACCTTCATATATTTATATTTGATTTCTAACCTGGAGTCTATACTAATTTTCTCAATTACAAAGCGGCCCTTTAAGTAAACACAATTTTATTTTCCTTCGTCCCATCTCTCTCCCCCACCTCTTCTCTTTCTTTTTCCCCCCTACCTCCTATCCTAACTTCTAATTGTCTGTGATGTATGTATGTCACCACGAAATGTATCTTTATGCATTAGACATCCGTCGACTTTCTTTCTCTCCTCTTTTTAAATTCCCCCACCCCACCCACATCTCCTAAAATTCTCTCTGTTAAGGTTTCATGTCCTCCTCCTCATACTTACTCTTTCTCTAAATTCGTTTTTTGATTTCGGAGTTGTTTTTTCTGTTTTCATTTTGAATTTGTAGGTCTGATGATTTGGATCGTATTTACGATTCAAATGGAATAAATTATGACCATGGAATATTAGTGTTTAACCCTTTTATTATATCCTTAATCTGTCCTAGACATTGAGTTCTACCTGGATCCTTCCTCTTGGAAAAATTTTTTCTGAAAATATACATGTATGGGAATTTTTAGATATATTTTCATATATATGTATATTTTCCACTAATATTATCTATATATATATATATATATATATATATATATATATATATATATATATATATTCATTATTAAAATGTAAATATTCATTATGAAAGTATATATATATTGATTATTAAATATATATATATATATATATATATATATATATATATATATTGATTATTAAAGTATACATATTCATTACTAAAATATAAATATTTATTATTAAATTAAAATATATCTATTATATATATATATTAAATATAAATATTGAAATATAAGTATATATATATATATATATATATATATATATATATATATATTAAAATATAAATATTCATTATTAATTAAAATAAATATTCATTATTAAAGTATATAAATAATCAGTATTTATATATATATATATATATATATATATATATATATATATATATATATATATATATACAGTGTGTAGCAAAAGTATTTAACACATTGATTTTTCTTACATATCTCAAACAATAACGGATCAATTTCAGCAAAACTTATAGGAAATATTTAAACGAACATTGTCGATCAAAACATAGAAGGGAAATTTAAAACCACTGTTTTGAGAAACATTTATTAACAATAAATAAAATAACCCATATGCAAAAGTATTTAACACACTTTACTCATAATTAGTACAGTAGCCTCTGTTCTGCTTCACAGCCTCCAGTCGTATATATATATGTTTTACTTATATGGGTTCACTATTTTCTGAAGATGTACGTTCTATTTTCTTACCAAGATTTACTTCTATAAAATTTTCCCATTTCCAATCATCAGATAAATAATTTATTTTAACAAAGGACGTAGTTAGAAAAACAGAAGATACTGATTTTTCAAGCGCTATATGAAACCCTATGATCTTTAGTTCCACCTGTTCAAACTTTTAGAGCGAGAACTCGGCTTGCTACCCCCACACAATCGGTTCTATTCCTCTCTATATATCTACAAAACCCCAAATCAGTTTTCTGCATATGAAAACCTACATCAGTTGAAAACTTCCCAAAGTAAAAACAACTAAAACAGATAGCCCATGTAACTCATAATCATCTTCAGATGTCTTGATCTAATTCCCCGTTCTTCTCTTTATCCTTTCCTCTGTCACTCCTCTTTCCTTTCGCTTCAACTCTCTGTAACCCCTTGCATGGTAGTTGTTTCCCCGCTTGCTTGGGGTGGAATACTTAAAAAAAAATCTAAAACTATTTTCTGGGTTTAAATAATTTGCAAAAATTTGATAAGCCGTAAAGAATAATTCAATCCTAAATAAATAAGTAACATCATTCTAAACTCTGATCAATTAAACTATCATAAAATGTGATTTTTAAATCAAACGAAAAGTTTTGATTCCTTTTAGAAACTATATAACTTTTAAAAATAAGGGTCATTAATAATTTTATCACCGTATTCAAATATTTTTGTAGACATAAAAATTTGAAAATAAATCAGAAAGTGCTTCATTTCATTTTAATTCATTTTAGGTCGAACGTATTGGCCGAACATTGTAGGTTGTAGGGTAACCTCCAAAAAATCGATTTTCTTTTTGTTGTAAGTAGAATGTTTCTAATCAAGAGCAATTTTAAGTTCGTCGACATTTAAATGATTTCGTCTGTGAAGTCATAAAAGTGCTCTAAATTTCTGGATAAATTATAAGAATAAAGAATTAAATCGATTCTGCCATAAAAAAAATAAAAAAATAAAAAAATCACTCCTTGTCGTCAGTATCACGTTTGGTTCTGGTGTTCAAACAATCGGTTGTTCGCGTCAAGCAAGGGTTATCGCTAAAGTAAGTGGAATCTAAATATGTTTATTTTTGCACCAATATTCATGCTAAAGGTACGAAATCACTTCTAATCTATCACCACTTACGGGTTAAATAGCTCGATAGACCGTCTTCTTTACCACTTATATGGCAAACAGTCTAGGAATAGAACAGTTTTGAATTCAAAACTGGTTGGTTGTTGGATTGACAACTCCCCGCACCCGTGGAAATATATTTGCGATGGAAACCACAGAATCATACCTAGTGTTTTGAGTCTGTGGCTATATGTTCTACAGGGGCATAGATAGAAAAATTGAGAAATACACGCCTCCGTTAAAATATGCCCACAACAAGCTTTGTTCTCTTTATTTCTATGTTTTAAAATCGATAAATGTTAAATAAAATAAAAGTTTTCGCATGTACCCCCTCAAAACTTTAGATTAATTGTCGTGGTAAACCCACCTATAGTAGAAGAAACTCTTCCTCCTCTCGTAAATACTAACGTCTGCGTGAGCAGTCGGTTGGGGAACGGAGACACAGTGTTAACTTACCGTACGGACGTACACCTCTATCTGCTTATTACTAACTCTCTTGCTTTGTATATATATATATATATATATATATATATTTATATATATATATATATATATATATATATATATATATATATGCTATTTCAATATACTTGTTCAACCTACTTTCATCTTCCGTGTCTTTTTTTCTTGTCCCTAAAACAGGCCACAACACTACCTGTTCATATATATCTATCTGTACTATATGTTTATTCTGTATCTATCTAAGACTGTAATTTTTGTTAAGTATTCTTTATCTATCTCTCTGTCTATCTGTCTATCTATTCAAGTCTGTTCTCATCTATCTATCTATCTATCTATCTATCTATCATCTATATCTATCTATAAGTTCACATCTATCTATCTATCTATGTATCTATTAATCTATCTATCTATCTATGTCTTTATACATCCATATTTATCTATCTATCCATGTATCTTCATTTTTTAATTATATTTTTATCTAAGTCTGTATCTATCTATCTATCTATCTATCTATCTATCTATCTATCTACGTTTATTCTTTATCAATTTAAGTTTATTTTTTATCCATCCATATATCTATCTATCCATGTATCTTTATTTTTTAATTATATTTTTATCTAAGTCTGTATCTATCTATCTATCTATCTATCTATCTATCTATCTATCTACGTTTATTCTTTATCCATTTTTTTATTATTTATCTATCTTTATACATCCATATATCTAAATATCTATCTATCTATCATTTTTTAATTATATTTTATCTAAGTCTGTATCTATCTATCTATCATTTCACATCTATCTATCTATCTATCTATCATCTATCATCTATCGTTTATTTTTATCAATTTAAGTTTATTTTTATCCATCTATCTATCTATATGTATCTTTTATTTTTTAATTATATTTTTATCTAAGTTATCTATCTATCTATTTATCTATCTATCTATCTCGTTTATTCTTTATCAATTTTTTATTTTTTATATCATATATTATTATCCATGTATCTTTTATTTTTAATTATATTCTTTATTACATCTATCTATATCTATCTATCTATCTATCTATCTATCTATCTATCTTCAGTTTTTTTTATCCATGTATCTTTATTTTTTTATATTTTTATCTAAGTCTGTTTCATCTATCTATATCTATCTATCTATCTATCTATCTATCTATCTATCTATCTATCTATCTATCTATCATACGTTTATTCTTTATCTATTTATGTTTATTTTTATCCATTTTTTATTATTTATCTATTTAAGTCTATTCTTTATACATCCATATATCTAACTATCTATCTATCCATGTATCTTCATTTTTAATTTATTTTTTAATCTATCATCTATCTATTTTATCTATTTTAATCTATCTACGTTTATTCTTTTCTCAATTTAAGTTTATTTTTTATCCATCCATATATCTATCTATCCATGTATCTTTATTTTTTAACTATATTTTTATCTAAGTCTGTTCCCATCTATCTATCTATCTATCTATCTATCTATCTATCTATCTATCTATCTATCTATCTATCTATCTATCTGTTGTGGTAAACCCTCCAACTAACTGCAAGAGTCGTTGAGGAGTCGGTTGAGGAGTCGGTTGAGGAGCGGAGATGCAATGTTAACCTACCGTTCGGACTTACACCTCTACCTGCTTATTAATAACACTCTGAACCCTAAACAGGCCACAACATTAATGGCATATATGTAAAGTACATTATCTGTTGGCCTAAGCTAATATTGAATAAAAACATCAAATAAACGCGGTTTGATCATTCTTATAATATAATAGACCGTGTGTTTTAGATATTATCCAAGTTAGCCGTGGTTGTTCATTACACGCATGAGGCCAGTTTAAACTAACGCCTGCATTTTTCTTTTATATATCAAAACAGATAAGTATGGACAATAATGTTGGAAAGAGAATATTTCACTGAAATCAGTTGCAAAATACACAGTTTTTTTGTCAGAACGTAAAAAAAGAAATACTAATTTCAAACAAAAAGGGAACAATATGTGTAAAAAGGTGGCATTTTAAAACAATTCCTTGTGGCTCCAATTTAAACTGAGATCAGATTTCTTTTTCCATATATCTAAATTATTCCTAAACAATAATTTTGGAAAGAGTAATTTGTATCACCGTAATATATTGAAAAATTGCCAAGTTTCTTTATAAAATCCAGAAATAAAGAACTATATGAAAAATATAAAGTTTCAGTTTGAACACGTTTTTGTAGGATATCACAAACTTCTTTTTTACCGTGATATTCACCTTACATAATGCCCAAGAGGTTGAGGCTTACAGAGCAAGAAGCATTGTTTATGGGGATATGAGGGGGAGATAACTCTCAATTATAAACTTGAACAGGTTGACAGTGATTGAGGAAGCATCATCTTGGGTGTCACTTTTATAAAACAGAGGTTCGTAGCAAGAGGCTGCTAGAGTGGAACTTATATCTCTACGAAGGGAGTAAAGGCGCTTCACTACAATGGTCGTGGCATGATGGGTCTTAATCGTAAAGTTTAGGATTAGCTGACCTAATGAATGTAGTTCGTCTTTGCATAGAATAACGATATAGCGAGAGATTTGCGACGTTTCGTCTCTGGGAAATGTGTTTTACAGTGGAAAATAATAATAAAATCACAATGACACGGAAATGCTTTTTGACGCTATGGAGACTGGAAAGTGCTGATTGCCAGTAGTCTTCAATTTTAGGCCTGATATCGCTCATATAAAGGAAGAGGAGGTGTCAGGTACTTACTGGCGCGATTCAGGGAGCAGGATATTTTTTCCACCATCTTTACCGGTGTATCGTAATGAGTCCTTCTTGAGGTGTATTTTGAGCCCCAGTTGGCGCTGAAGGCACGGTAACCCCTAAAACAATACCTGTCCATTGCGATAGGTGAATATTCAAGATCCGCTTGGTGATAATAGGGCGTAATTAGTTTGGCTTCCTAGACCAGCGTTTCTCAAAAACGGTTCAGCCGGGCGCGCTAATGCGCCCTGAAAGATAGCCATGTGCGCACCTAATCAACAGAAACGAAATTTATGAATTAGTTTCGTATTTATAAAGCCTTCAATAAAGACACCAATCACATGGTTTCAATGTCTAAGTCAAGACTTTGTCATTTGATATCTTAAACCGGATACTAAATTTCTTAATGTTTAAGCAATGTATATTCCTTTCGTTTTGGCCTTTGCCAAGAAGAATTTAAATCAGTCCCTATTGAACTCTCCAAAAGAAATACAAAGTTAATTAAAAATCCTTTGAAGTGAATATTATTGTTGTGGATTCCGAGATGAAATTCGGTCTCCAATGAATCCACAACAATAATATTCATTTCAAAGGATTTGTAATTAACCTTATATTCCTTTCCTGAATGAAATATAACAAATAAATGTATTTACACAATAATACAATTAGTAATACGGTTAGTAAATCCAGAAACGCGGTTAGTAGCAATAATAATATATATATACAGTCTGGTAAATTCAGTCTCGAAGTATGACTTCCTTCTGAGTCTACGTGCTCGCAACTGTGACTCCTACAAAGCGGTTACCTCACACTATTACTCTACCGTCAACTCAATCACAATGTCAATCTCTATCTCTGTACTCTGACTGACTGTCTAACTCTGCGTATTTAACGGCAGCGGTACAAATACATACTGGTCGAGTCCTCTTGTATGAAAAAGGGGTGGACAATTATTTTAAAATTTCTTGAGTAATTTTCCTTAATAAATGTAAAGTGCGCCTAGCATTTTAGTTATTCTACAAGTGTAGCATGAACAATATATATATATATATATATATATATATATATATATATATATATATATATATACGGATAAGAAACAATGCCGAGACATTGAATGTGATCAGCCAGTTTTCGGACACTGAGCTGTTAAAGCTAGATCAGTTAAGAGATCAGCTGCCAAGGATGTGTACCCATATACAGTTGTGTTATTCACAAATATTCGGTGTATATTGTTAGGCAGATCATTTATGTAAAGTAGAAAGAGGTTTGGGCCGGGAAGAGAGCCCTGGGTGACGACTGTTATCGCTTGGGCCTCGGAGGACTGGCATTTACTAATTTACATATATTTCTTTTAAAATCGTTTAAACATAATTTTTTTTATTCATTTCAAATCGTGACCTGTGTAAATGTTTTGTCTCTTTCGTGGGGGATTACACTGCCTTGGCAATAAAATAAAATTATTAATTTTGCTGAAAGTATTTTCCTCTGTGACACTTCTTGACTATCGCAACGTCATAGATGTTTATGTCTACTAAGTATTGTATTTATTATCTTGTAATTTTACGATAAATTCTTGGCAGTCCTGGGTATGACAAAAACAACATCCGTTAGGAAGGCCTCTGATCTGGAGTTTGGAGGTTTGACAAACGTGAAACCATTTCTTAATTGCTGATGTTCCCAGGTCCGGGTTAGGATCCCAGCTATGGTCAAATATTCGACGCTCAAACAAATAATTATGAATGTTTAAAAATACATTTTATAGCAAAATTACGAGTAATAATTTTTTTGTATATAAAAAATATACAACAACAGAAAAATGCCAACAATAAATTTTAACAGTAGTTGAAGGTATACAGTTGCGTTCAAAATATTTACATTTCTGCATGAAATAACCTATAGAGGTTAATATGCCACTAAAAACCAATCAACCAGTATGAAATAAATTATTGGAAATATTGTCCCACATGGAATTTGACGTATGTAATAGTTCGTTCTTCTGACCATTTATTGGCATTTCTCGCAGCAATATAATCTATCATCCTCTTTATAATTCTGCATAAAAAACAATGAATATTTCGATATCTTTAATATCACAAATAGCAGTAACAATGTCATCTGCTGTTACGTTTGCAATTTCCTTCTGCTTTGCGTGACATCATTAAATACTGTATCTTCTCAATATATTTCTTTACAAGGAAACCATTATGCGTCATTTCATATACAGGGTAATCATGTTAAGCACTGTGTAACGTGTCTCATATGACGAGAAAAATGTTTAAATATATCGAACTGTTTTGTTTACAATTTCTTTTATATACTGTGTTCCTACAGGATATGAGCAATCATGGCACTTGAAACTTCCTCTCCTTTGTTATATATCTCTCCTTACTCTCCTTTCAGTCCCTGTTCTGTCATTCAATAAAACTCAATAGATACACGCTGTTTCCTTCTTCCTCTATTATTTTCACGATGCCCTGAGAGTTTTAAATTCTCCAAGCCCTTTTACCTCATTATGTTATCCCAGAAATTATATCTTTCCAATTTTCCTAAGATCTTCGTGGCTACCCATATTTTCTGCCGATGGAAGTTTCACTATGCTTCTTTAGAAGCGCCTCTCTTTGGTTTGAGGATAACCTAAATCAGGCAGCAAGGCCTCTGATCGATATCGGTTCGATAAGGTCTAATTGGTAGCTGATATCAAAACTGGCGAGTTAATTTTCACATCTTGAAAAGGAAACTGTGTTTTTTTTACCTGCCTTCGGCTGGTGCTAATCTCTAGGATCCTTAGGACAACTTTTTTACTGTTCTCTCGTCTTAAGATTTTTCTCAAACTCTTTCGTTTTCTCATAATTAGCCCACTGCGTTTTAGAGGATTGATCGTCTTGCTTAGTGTGTAATCAAACATAAAAATGAGCATGTTAGTGAACAGGATCCGATAGTAAAACTTGATAGAAATCACAGATAACAAATACGATAAAGGAGTATTTAGCAATGAATAATGAAATTCACCTGACTCAAGGTTACACTCGGTTAATATGTATGGACATTTTGTACAAGATATGTAAAGTTTGTATTCCATTGAGGCTATAGTTAATTGTAATCTCCAAGGGAGATAATTTAAACCAGAAGATTCATCATCTTGCTTGGTAATGAAGTAAAATAAAACATAAAAATGAGCATGTTAGTGAAAAGGATCCGATAGTAAAAATTGATAGAAATCACAGAACACTAAATACTCTAAAGAACTATTTCGCAGTGAATAATTAAATTCAGCTGACTCAAGGTTACACTCGGCTAATACATATGAACATTTTCTACAAGATATATAAAGTTTGTATTCCATTGAGGCTATAGTTATAAGTTATTTATAAGCCAAGGATAAGGATGGTAAGGATAATGGTAATATTAACATTTTCCTAATACGGAAACATTCATTGATAGTGAAGTGAAAATAATATATTCAATTTTTATATACTAGAAAAATATTACGGAAATTAATAACAACAGTTAAGATTGATTATTAGAGATTGATTGGTTATTTTTTACGACTTATGAAAATTTTTCCGATTATTTTAAACCCGGGAATATTTTAGATTGTAAGAATAAAATAACAATGCTTTTGATAATACATGTTTTAACAGGAAGATAAATTAAACCAATTGTAGAATAAGAAGGTATGTGTACGTGAAACTGAACAAATAGACAATTGACAAAATTCTCAATAAATTACTAGCAACATTTTCAATAAGTCGAATTAGTAATATTAATAATTATGAAAGTAAACGACCTTTT